ATCCCAGAGAAATTAAACTTATTTTCATGCAGAAACTTGTAACATATATTCCTAGCTGCTTTATTCATAATAGTGAAAAGAGCTAGAAACTACCCAAATGTCCTTCAGCAGTTAAATGGTTAAACAAACTGGTACATTTATACCTTGGAATACTACTCAGCAGTGAAAAGGAATGATCTTTTGATGTACACAACTTGGATGAACTGCAAGGAAATAATATGGAATTTAAAAAAGCCAGTCTCAAAAGAATGGATACATACCGCATGATCCCATTTATGTAAGACTCATGAAATAACATAATTACAGAGATGGAAAACAGAATAGTGACTGCCAGGGGTGGGGGTGGTTAGGAATGGGAGGAAGAGGGGGGCTGTCACTAAAAGGGGTGGTACCATGGAGTATTTTGATGATGGTACAGTCAACTATGTATCTTGAATGTGACTGTAGTTACCCAAAGCTACACATCTGATAACATTACATAGAGCTACACACGCACACACACACACACACACACACACACACATGAGTGCATGTATAACTGGTGAAATTTGTATGCACTCTATGGATTGTACCAACGTCAGCCTCCCGGTTTGATATCGTATTACAGTTACACAAGATGCTAACTTTGGGGGAAGTTCGGTGAAGGGTGGAGGAGCCCCCCCGCCCCCGCGTACATTTATTTGCAACTTCCTGTGAATCTATTTTAAAATAAAAAGTTTATTTATTTGTGATGAGAACACTTAAGCTCTACTCTCTTTCAGTATAAAAAGCTTAAAAAGGCTCAAACCCAGCATGATCAGTCATGGCAGTCATGCAGCGTTGTCTTGCCATATGTTTTGAGATATGTTTGACACTTTCACTGTTGCTGTTCCCTATAAATGAACAGAGTACGCGGAAACTTCAATGAAGCATTCTTTTCCAATGCTGTGTATTCACAGAGAGACTAATGGCGTTTGTTTTCTGTGTTGTCTGAACCTTAATCTTACCACGTGCTTCTGTTTTCCATTTTCACAGAGCTGTACTTGGGGCTGGGTCATCTTAACCCCACCTTCCTCCCCTCTAGGATGGTGGCAACGGTGTTATGTTTTTTTTTTTTAATTTTATTTATTTATTTGAGAGAGAGAGAATGAGAGATAGAGAGCATGAGAGGGAAGAGGGTCAGAGGGAGAAGCAGACTCCCTGCTGAGCAGGGAGCCCGATGTGGGACTCGATCCCGGGACTCCAGGATCATAACCTGAGCCGAAGGCAGTCGCCCAACCAACTGAGCCACCCAGGCGCCCGACGGTGTTATGTTTTAAAAAGGCGTTCCTCTCTCTTACTTTCTCAGAGAAACTTCTTTTCATAGTCCCAAATAAAAATGCTTATTGCATTCTCCCTTCCGCATGCCCCACTCTGTCCCCATTTTGGGATGGGACTTAAAGCCTTTGGATAGTTTCAATGTAACTTACTCATTTTATGTTCCAAGCTTTATTGTAGCATCCTAAGATTAGGCATTCAGCCACTTAAGAGTGTCTTGAAATTCTAAGCAGCTAAGAAATCTTAGGGCTTTCTCTTGTATCTTTTCCATGGTGAGTAACCTTGTATTCAGGGAGAGGAGAGGGAGAGAAATGGAGAAACATCAATTAATACAGAACTATTCTTTGGAAAGCCTGAGTGTCCATTTATCCTTCTCCCCAGGGGCAAAACACACACACACAACTTAGTCATTCCTAATAATGTAAATAATACAAAATGCCAACACAACCGCACTTGAATAGTGACAGAGTAAAGTAACTTTGGCACAATAAGAAAGCCATGAGACCTCCTGTTTACATCTTACTGCAACAAATCACTTCCCCTTAGACTCACGTAAAGACTCAAAGCTGATGACAAAGCCCAGCCATTTCCTTCTCGTTTGGAGAGAGGAAACAGAGAGCTCGAAGTTCCTTCTGTACTAGAAGGGCAAAAATCCATCCCTTTAACTGGGTCCCTTGTGCTCCATCTGTATAGTTCTTAGGGCTTTGCTATCAGCCATGATCACTGTATTTCCCAGTAAGAAGCAGCCGTGTTAAGACATACCTATTCATCTTGGGAGAGAAGATATCTTGTTGTATTTTTGATATAGCGCCTTGAATTCTTGAAGGGAAAAATCAGAAAGATTTATGTCAATGCCATGGGGCTGGTGCTAAAGTTGAAGGTCTAGCTCCTAAGGCTGGCTTAGAAAAGGCTTACAGACCAAAGCCAGGGAGTGGGGTTTTTTTAAAAAGACCGCAGAAGGCTTTTTTTTTCCTTCTTGAAGGGTTGTTCCTAAATGAAGGAAATCGTGTACCCTTCCTCCTTTTTGCTTGTACATTCAGTCTTTTTTTTAATGAATTAAAGCTTGAGGGAAGATGCTACCAGATAGTTTCTGAAACTGACGCATGGTGGCTTTGCTACCCAAGGAGCAAATGGATTAGCTCCTGGATGGTTCGCTCCTGTTGTTAGCTTTGTTTGCTCTGGGTGGTTTCTCTTTTACCAGTTGCTGCATTTTGCATCATCTCTCCCTCAGCCGCTTAGGGGGTCTCTTCTGAGACTGACTCTACTCTGAACACAGACGAACTGTGTGGGTGCAAGGGAGGAGCACAGAGTAGCCACGTGCCTGCCAGTCCATCTCGGACAACCTGCGGTCATAGTGGGGTTTGCGATCACCAAGCCTCTTCAGAATGCCCTGGTTTTCCACAGTGATTCTCACTAGTTCCCGGTTCCTTGTTTCTCTGTTTAAGCTGAAAAACACAAAATCCTGAGATGGCCGGAGAATAAAATTCCCTTCTTGGATGAAGTCGTGATGTCATAAACCCAGGCTGCCTAAGTGCAGGGAACAGACTTTCCTGCTGAGCCCTGAGACCCCCCTACCCCTGTTGAACTAGACTATGCTCTGGGGTCCATGCACAACGTTGGCAGGTTTCTATCAGTGGTTCTCAACCCTGATGACCACTAGAAGATTCTATTTTATTGGTCTGGGTGCAGCTTGGGCATTGGCATTTTGTAAAAGCACCCCAGGAATAATTATGTGAAACCAGGAATGAGAATGTCTGGTTTATATGACAGGGGAAGGTCTTGCCTATGGACATATCACAAAAGGCTGGTGACGAGTTTTGCTTCACTTCGTCTCACCGTTCAATGGTTTCAGATACAGAGGATATAGGAAAGGCACCTTGACACGCCCTCCCATACACACACACACACACACACACACACACGACCAAATTCTTTCCCTTGCATACACTTCTTTTGTAGCCCTGTCTACACTGCATTATTATTTACAGAAAAGTCTCCCCTAACAGGTCTTGAGTTTTTTGAGGCTGGGAAACATATATATCTCATTTCATCTTTGTATTCATAGCACTTAGCACATAATAGTTCCTCAGGAAATACTTGAGGAACCGATTCTTAAGAATGCTGTGTCATAGTCCCAGCTACGGTCACCATTTTATAAAAGTGTGCAGTGTTTTCTTGTGACAAACTCTGAATAGAATTCCAAAAATTCTCTTAGCTGCAATAAAAGTTAGCTCTTTACCAACTAGAGAAAGGTCCCTGTTTTGGATAGTTTTCATTCTCCTTAACCTGGTCTCTGGCTACCATCAAGATACCTTCTCTCAAGTACACCTCCTGCTCAGGAGAACCTCGCACTAAAATCCAACAAGGGGAAAGTCAATTTTGACTTCCCAAACATGAAGAGAGGAGAGAGAACACTACCTCTTGGAAAAATATTCATTCCAGCAATCCACCTTGGCAGGGCCACGATGGGCCTTTGCGATTTTCTGACACAGTTGCTTGTTTTCATATTCGATTTTGTCGATTCGCTTTTGTTCACCCTGGTAAGAAACCGCATCCCCACCATGGTCACATCGTTCAACACCCAAAGGCTCTGCATCACCCTCCTCTGGAATGGTGGGAAAGGGGCAAATTGAGGGCCGCAGTGGAGCCTGGGAGGAGAGCATAGGGATGGGTGGTGTGCAAAGGGCAGGGAATCTTAACAAATCTCTGGGTGAGGAGGGTATTTATAAGTCTGGGAAACTGGGCCTCTTCAGGACATGGATAAAAATCGATAAAGTACATCCACCGATGGCAAGAACGAATACCTGTAGTTTGCTCAGTTTTAAAATGTGATGTGTGTGCGCCACTGGAGGTTTGGTATCAACAGTAGGCTTCACTAGAGGATAAAAGAGAGCCATGTTACTACACAGGGGTCCTCTTAGCTACCTCGGAAAACCTGCTCACGTTCCAGACACCTGCCCCGACTAATAAACATGACAATTTTGAGTTCTGACCTTACTCTGGTTCAGGAATTTTAGGTTAGTTTAATTTCCCAAACTGACATCTTTGAAGAGTTTTCAGCACAAATAACAGAATGTGAGGACGAGAACAACTACAACAGAGATAAATATCCTTTGCATCTAATGAAAGATTCTCTCCCATCCTTTCCCAGTACAACTAGCCTGTTGGGAGCTGGAGTCCTACTCTCTCTCTAGCTTACTCTGGCTTTAAAGAGTTTTAAGTGAGCATTTCCATCCATTGATAAATTTTGTCACTGACGCCAACGTCCTCTTGACCCAACCCAGCAGAGAAGGCCATATCATCACAAAGCCATGTACTGGTCTGGTTTACTGTCACTATCTCTAAGGTGTGGACCCTTCCAGAACTCCTAATCACAGTGTCCCACCCCAACTGCCCACATACCTATTTGTATTCTATTCTTGTGAAATACGTAGTGGCCAAAGTCCAGCTTCTTTCTGAAGGTTGTGCTCTGTCTGTGATTACAAACAATTACAGGGTAGGCTAGATAATCCAGGGAATTGTTCATCTTCTCTTCCTAGTCTCACTTCAGAAATGAGGCACCCAGGCTCCTCTGTGAGGTACTTAGCGGTCCCCATTACAGGTTGTCATAGTTACCCCGTTATGACATCAGGGACAGGTCTTGGGGAAGGAAGAGGAGCGGCAGAGCATGCTTGGCTGTCCCTGGGCTTCTGTTTGGAAGCTAACACAGGTCCAAATCAAGATGAGGGTCAAGACTCAGAATCTCTCCCACCCGCCCGGCCTGCGGATGCCACCAACACCAGGGGGAAAAGGTGTGGTGTGCTGGGAGGGGTGGGAAGGCACCGGGTGGGAGGTGGGGGGTGGGGATGGAGAAGTCCAGCCTTGGTTACACACCTTCAGCTATAAGCTAAGGAGTTTCCACCATAGTAGATCTTCTGGAGGTGTGAGACCACAAGCTTTTGGGGGGAGGTGAAAGATGACCTTAATGAGAATCTCATCCAGTTTTTTCATTTTGCAGTTGAAGAACCTGAAGTCCAAAGCAATAGCCTGCTCTGCTGCTCAGGAACCAAGTTAGTGGCAGGGCAGGGCTCAGGATGGGGGGTTTCCTAAATTCCTGGGACATTCGCTTTTTGGAGGAGTGGGGGTGGGGTGGGAATCTGCCATCGTCAGGAGGACAGAGATTGTTTTCTGCTTTTAGTGGGATTTCAGCAAATGAGGGGCTGCCAACACTGACGAGGCTCATGGTGGCCTAGCGGCTGCTCCTGGAAGGGCTGCAAAGGAGCCTGATTCATCTCCATGCTAGCACATGTGTAGTGGCACCTAGTGGGTGATGTAGAGGGAGAACACCTACTGAGTGCTCACCGGGCGCTTTCCTTGAGCGTCACATTCAATCTTTCAAAGAACCCTAGGAGTTAGGTACTAGTATCCCATTTTCCCCCCCAGCAAGCAGGCTCAGAGAGGTTGATTGGCCAGGGTCAGAATGCCAAGCCTGGTTGCACAGAGTCCAAGCTTTGAAGCCCGGTGCTGACTCCCAGTAAAGGTTGGAAGAAATGTGCCTCAGAGTTGGGCTTCCCAAACTTTAACCTTTCTAAGGATCGCCAGGGGGGCCTGTAAAATGCATTCTCATTCAGCAGGGCTGGGCTGGGGCGGAGATTTCGCAATTCTGACCAGCTCCCGGGTGGTGTCAATGCCGCTGGTCCGCAGCAGGCAGATCAGCTCACAAGCGGAATCGGGTGTCCCGGTAATCCTGCAAAAACTAAGCGCACCTGTGTGTACCCCGTTCAGTGGGAACATTTATTGCGCTCTGCGTTTAATCCAATGAAGTTACTGCACTTCCCCATTTATAATGATGCAGGAAAGGCCTCAGCTGGGGGTGGGCCGAGGACCCCCGAAACTCCTGGGTGGCGCCAATCTTCGCCGGGGTGGGGGGGCCGACAGGCCCGGGGTCCCCCAGAGCGTCCGCGCGGCCCCCAGCGCCGCGCCTGCCTACGGGGAGCGGAGCGCGCCGGTCGTCCGCGCTCCGCCTTTTCCCGCGCCCGGCGGGCCCGCCTCCGGGGCGGGACGGGGCGGGTCCCGGCTCGGGAGCCCCCGCCCAGCTGACCCGGCGGCTCTCCCCTCGCAGGCTGCTGCCCCGCCGTGCAGGGCCCGGCAGCCGCCATGTCCGGCCCGTTCGAGCTCTCGGTGCAGGATCTCAACGACCTGCTGTCGGACGGCAGCGGCTGCTACAGCCTGCCGAGCCAGCCCTGCAACGAGGTCACCCCCAGGATCTACGTGGGCAACGCGTGAGTAGCCGCCGGGGCGCCCCGCCCACCCGAAAGCCGGGGAGGGGGCGTCGCGGGCGTGCGGGGGGGGTGGTGGTGGGCGGTGCGGGGCGTGGTCGCCGTCCGGGAGCATCGCGGGGGCCGGGGAGGGGCTGGAGTCGCCGACCGCCCGCGCGCGGGGAGCGGAGGGGCTAGACCCCGCCCCGGCCCCGCGCGGTCCTCCTCCTCGCGGGGGGCCCGGATCCCGGGACGCTCGGCCAGCCCGGCGTCCGGCCCGAAGCCGCCGCCCTCTAGGGGCTCGGCTTTGGGCGGGGTCGGGCTGCCGTGATCACTTAACAGGTGGCCCTCTGTCACCCGGCCGGTCTCCAGCCCGCGCGTCATGTGACAGCTGCCTGGTTCTGCAGTGAGGTCACCGCGGAATGTCTGCCTTCGCTGCCATGGCAACTGGCTGACGTCACAAATCGGGCGTGGAACTTTCCTGGCTGGGCAGGATAGATCAAGGAATCGAAATACTCCAAATGAGGGATCCGGAGAGCTGGGCTGGGGTTCCCTCGCTCCTTCTCCTGCCTTCCGGATAGGGTTTGATTTACCGACGCCATACGCTCTATGGGCCAGGGTCTGCGTGTTGGAAACCCAGAACTAACTTCCTTCTCTCCTTTTATCCGGGAGGAAATGGTGGCCCAGGGTGGTTGAGGGACTGTGAGGACAGGGTCAATGTCTCGTTCATGTCTGTATCCCCTGTCCTGCTGCTTATCCTGCTAAGGGCTGCCACAAAAACAGGGGTCCTCGCGGGGCTAACAGGGGTCCATAACGCAGGTCCCACTTTGATGGGGGACAGTCTCATCCACTCCATCCCTTCATTCACCATATTGAGCACCTACTCTGTGTCAGGCACTTACAGTGCACATTCATAGTGATAGTAATGGCAATGGTAAATTTGTTGAATGTTGAATTTGTAATGCATAAGGGAGGTGAATGGGAGCTCACCTTCAGAGTTTTTTTAACCAACCACTGCTTTACAACCACGTGCAGCGTTGTGAGCAGGGACAGCTGCAACAGTCCCAGAGCCTCAGCCAACGGGCTCAGGGAATTGCAAAGTTCTGAGGATAGCGCCCTGTCCAGACACCCAAGCAGCAAGTAGCCGTGGCACCCTCAGGGACCCTGTGCTCTTGGACAGTTTGGCACATTCAGCTGCCCCTACTTCCTGGGTGGAAACCGAGGTTGTGAATGTCTGTCTGGTGGCAGCCAGAGTGGCCAGTGCTGAAGACCACTGTAGAAAAACACATCCCCTGCCTGATTGATGAATCTGGCTTTGACCTGACCAGGGGTGTGTTGGGGGGGGCACTCAGCAGGGAGCCAAGTGCTCCCTGCCCATTGGGAGCCCCCTGAACCAAATCAGGGCTCACAGGCAAAGAGGAGCCTGTATGAGCCTCATTTTCTAGAACTCAGGATATGCAGTTGATGTGGACATGACAGGCAGAGTGAGGGGGGCGGGCAGGGCAGGGCTGGTGTCAGGCCTCCTCCCAGCTCGGCTGCCAGCAGCCCGTGTGACCCACAGCTCATCCTCCCGCCGTCCTGTGGGGCCAGAGCTCAAGCCCAGGCCTTGCTTCCTCACAGGCTGCTGTGACAGGCAGACGCCATCGAGTCGGAGAAAGCGTTTTGTGAAGTATAAACTGCTGTTTGAATTGGGATGTTGTTGGGAGATGAAATAAAGGAGCCCTTTGACTATTCAGATCAAATGTTTTATAACCCCCAGAGTTCTGTTGGCGCCACTCGGTCCCCAAGTGCTTGCTCACCCAGGAGGGCTTCAGAGACGTGGCTAGTGCTCTGTGGCAGAAAGGTCCCTCTGGGGGACTGGAGGGGCTGCCGTTCTTTATGATCCAAGGAAGGAGGCTGCATCGGATGTGCTGATGTCCTTCTTTTTCACTGATTCACTACATAGTCATTCAGCACCTAATACGTGCCCGGTGCTGTAGCAGGTGCTGGGCAGGCAGACCAGGTTACTCCCTCCAGGAGCTCAGAACAAATAAGCACAATCAGGCATTAGAAGAACACGGACCACAGTGTCACGCTCTATGGGACCGCTCATTTAACACAGCCACCCCAGGGGGTATCAGCCCCATTTGACAGACAGGGAAACTGAGTCACCAAAAGGTTAAGTGGCTTGCTCAAGGTCATCTGGCTGGTAAGTCTGAGGGTTGGATTCAGACCCAGGCAGTCTGGCTCTAGAGCCCATTTTGAGCCACTGGGTTGTACTACCACCACAGGATAGGGGAGCATGATGCCAGATGGGTTGGAGGGGCGGTCGGGACATACTGCAGAGGGTGGTGAAAAATGAGAGGGTGTGTGTCCGTGGAGAAGCTTGAGAAGGGCATTCCAGAGGGAGGGAACAACATGGGCATGAAACGCCCCAGCTATTTGGGGAAGCTGCTGGTAATTAGATATGGCTGGAGGGAGGGAGGTGGGTCATAAGATGAGGGGAAGCCAGCAAGGGCCGAGCGTGGACAGTTCCTAGCTTTGCCAGGAGACTTAGAATCTTCTCCATCTTCCTCCCCCCGGGGCTGCCAGTTGGTGAGTTAATCATCCCCTGTTGCTGTCTCCTGTCCAGGTCTGTGGCGCAAGACATCCCCAAGCTGCAGAAACTGGGCATCACCCATGTGCTGAATGCTGCTGAGGGCAGGTCCTTCATGCACGTCAACACCAATGCCAACTTCTACAAGGACTCCGGTATCACCTACCTGGGCATCAAGGCCAACGACACGCAGGAGTTCAACCTCAGCGCCTACTTTGAAAGGGCTGCAGACTTCATCGACCAGGCCTTGGCTCAAAAGAATGGTAAGACACCTGCGGTCCAGGAAACAAGGGAAGGCAGCTTTGACTGGACTTTTTTTTTAGAAAACAGGCCCACAGCCGGCTTCCTCTTGGAACCTGTCAAGAGGCCCCACGTTACACAAGATGTACAAACCTTTCTCACAGTGGCAGCCTCCGGGGTCCTGGTGTTTGAGTGGACTTTGGCTGGGAGTTCATTTCTAGCCACTCCCCGCCATGCCCCAATTCAAATAGTTTCAGCAATAACGATTTATCTTCCGTGATAAGAAGTGCTGAGGTGTTGGAGCTCTGGGGCTGGTTGATTCAGCAGCTCAGTGGTGGCATCTTCCCCCCGCCACCTTCTGGGCTCTCCCCTAGTGGTCCCAAGATGGCGGTGGCAGACCCAGTCACCACACCCTGGCGGGACGAAGTACAGCAAAAGACCTGGCAGCCATCTCTTCCTCATGTTTCTTCCTTTTTTTAAAGAGCAAGTAGAAGGGCTCCTGGGTGGCTCAGTCGGTTAAGCGTGTGCCTTCAGCTCAGGTCTTGATCCCAGGGTCTTGGGATCGAGCCCCGTGTCGGGCTCCCTGCTCAGCAGAGGGAGTCTGCTTCTCCCGCCCCCTCAGCTCCTCTGCCCGGCTCGTGCTCTCTTTCTCTCAAATAAATACATAAAATCTTAAATAAATAAATAAAAATAAAGAGCAAGTAGAAGGGTCCTCAGAAACCCCTCAGTGGGCTTCCCCTCACATCTCACTGGCTGGAGTTGGCTTACATGAATGCCCGGCCAGGGGAATGGGGCAGCCATGGCTGGCTTAGGCTGGTGCTCAGCAAGCTATAGCCCACAGGCCCATCTTCCAGCCACTTTCTAAATGCTTCCTGCAGCACAAATCTAAGACTGAAGGAAAACTGCGGAGGCACTGGAAGTCAGGCAGGCCGCCCCCCGGGGGGAGACCTGGAAGGCAGAGGGCAGACCTCAGTTGAGCAGGCCGGGCCACCTGCCCTTCCTGCTTTTAGCTTGTTCCTCTCAGCATCTGCCTTTACCTTCAGGCTGCGTCCCCCAGCCTCTTCCTCCCTGACCCACAGCCTTTTCAGGGGAGGTGAGCCCTGTGAATGTGCAATCAGCCTTGTCCCCCTGCTTCTGGCCTGTCTCTGCTTCTCTTGCCCAGCAGCCTCCCCCTGGAATGATTTCCAGTGACCAGTGTGGACTAGACGCTGGTTATCGCATGTCTGGGGCTCAGGAGGGAAGTTTTATCACCCAGGACATCTGCAGGCTCTACTATCAGCCCCTTCATGGTCCTTTACGGTCTCGTGTATGTCACCCCCTCCGTTCCGGCTGTACTGAGTTCCTGTGTAGATGGGAGCGAGCGGCCCAGTTAAGGGGATGGATTTTGCTCTTCTTGTATATGGATTGGTCATCCACTCGGGGAACTTAGAGCTTTCTGACTTTGTTTCCCCTTCCCCTACCACTAGGAACAGACCTTGACTTTTTGTGACCTCCTGCCTTAGCAGGAGGTGGCGTGCGCTAAGTTGTCAGTCTGGAAAGTTCTCTCTGCCTCTCCCTACCTTGTCTTCTGGCAAACTCCACCTTGTGCCTTAGCACCGGGCATAGTGTTCTGTCTTCCATGAAGCCTGCCCTCAGGCTGGGTCCACTCTGTCCCTGTCTGTCTCCCCAGCACGCGATACAGCATTGGGCACATAGCAGACACACTGCAAATAATTACCGAGTGAGTGACAAAAATAAATTCCGTGGGCTCTCATGCCAAGTGTAAATGCCTCCAGGATTGACTGGCTGAGTGAGTGGACAGAAACACACTGGCCTCCCGCAGGGTGCAGGGCTCGGGGGAGCCAGGCGTCCCTCACTTTGGAGAAGTGGGATGAGCCAGGAGTGCTCAGAGGAGGAAGCAGTCACTTCCTGACTGGATCAAGGGAGGCTTATACGGAGGAGGTGTTATCTGGGTGGGGCCTGGAGGGATGGGAGTCGGACCTTCCCCTTCCCGATCGGCTCTATGAGTCCTGGGCTGCTGATTATCTACCAGGTGGTGAGGCAGCGGCTCTGCAGAGGGTCCCCTTGCCAGGGCCTGGGCAGGGAGAGCCCCACTGCGCATCCTTTGGGTATATTGGCTAGAGAGGGAATGGTCAGGAGAGTGGCGGACTCCCCCTTCCTGCTTGGGAGGCACGGGGAGAATAGAGTCCTGTTTTGGGGTAGGGTGATGGGAACAGAAGAGACTCTGTTTGACTCTGGGCTAGCAGATTTCCTTCAAAATAATGGCAGGATAGAGGCATTGGTGGATAATCATTCACTTGGCTAGTCAGCAAATATTTATTGAGCACCAAGTGCATACTAGAAGTTGTAGGGCATCCAGAAATCAATACCCCACAGTCCGTGCCCTTAAGGCACGCACAGTCTGGTGGAGGAGCGTAGATCTGTGCATGGCCAACAGTGGCACAGAGCCAGGCCGCTGTCGTAGAAGGTTCTGGGCGCCACCAGACAACTCCTGTTGCTGGCTAGGAGTTCATTATTGAGTGCTTGCATATGCCAGACACTAGCCTAAGGGCTTTATATGACATTACCTTCAGTCCCCTAACAACACGGTGCAATGGGTAGTATTAACACGGATGAGGAAATCGAGGTGTGGGGGCTTAGGTGGGTCACAGAGCTCATAAGCAGTGTACTGGCCAGCAAAACAGAACCAATAGAATAAATAGATATTATTTATTTTAAAGAATGGGCTCACATGATTATAGGATCTGGCAAATCTGAAATCTGTAGGGCAGAGTGGCAGGCTGGAAATTCGGGGCCAGGCTTCTTTATTACAGCCTCGAGGCAGAAGGTTTTCTTCTCCAGTGAACCTCACTTTTTGCTCTTAAGATCTTTAACTGATTGGGTGAGGCCCGTCGACATGATTAAGGGCAGTCTCCTTTACTGAAGGTCAACTGATAGTTGGTGTTAATTACATCCAGGAAATACCTTCTAGACTAGTGTTTGCCCAAGCAGCGGGCATCGTAGACAAGCGGAGTTGACACATGTAACCATCGCAACCAGCAAGTTAAAAGTTAAGCCCACATTCATATGACTTCAAAGGTTTTGGTTCTTTTTTTTTTTTTAAGATTTATTTTTCGGGGCGCCAGGGTGGATCATTCAGTTGAGAGTCCCACTCTTGGTTTTGGCTCAGGTCATGAGCTCAGGTTCCTGAGATTGAACCTTGCCTATGGCTCTGCGCTCAGCAGGGAGTCTGCTTCCCCCTCTCTAGCCTCTGTCCCCCCACCTCCTAGCCCCTGTCCCTGGCTCACACATGCACGTGCTCTTTCTCTCTCTCAAAGAAAGATGTATTTATTTATTTATTTGAGAGAAAGAGAGTGTGTGTGCACATGTGCCCCTCCGGGGGAGGGGGGGAGGTTCGGTGCAGGGCTCAGTCTCATGACCCTCAGACTGTGACATGAACCGAAATCAAGAGTCAGACACTCAACCAACTGAGCCACCCAGGCGTCCCAAAGATTTTGGTTATGCTGACAAAGGAAATACTTGAACTGGGGTTTTAAGGGATGAGTAGGAGTTTGCCAGGTGGCCAAAAGAGAGACTGTGTTCCAGGTAGAGGGAATGACACGTGCAGAGACACTGGGGTGTGGAAAAGCATGGGACGGTATCAGGGCCGTGGGCACTTGGCCTTGTGAGCCACACCTTGGAGACTAGAAGTCCTGCAAAGGGTGACAGGTTGTTTTTGAATTTTAGAAAGCCCCTTCCGGCTGCTGGGGGGAGTGTGGATTGGTGGTGGTGAGGGTAAAGCGAGAGCTCGGTTTGGAGGTGTGGAGGGGGTGGAGGTGAGGGTGATGAGGACCTGAACTAAGGCTCTGTGGTGGGAGGGGGTGATGGCAGAGAGAAGCCAAGGCTTGTGGGTCCCAGGGACCCCCCCACAGTGGAAATGCAATGCGCTGGGACTTGTTGATGCTTTCTTTCACCAAATGCTGGGGATGCAGCGGGGAGCAAAACGGCAGACACCCCTGCCTTGTGGAGCTTCCCCATTTCAGGCGAAGCTGACAGCAAACAAGTGAAAAAACATTTCCGGCCTGCGTGGTGGGGGGCACTAAAGCAGGCGGGAGAAGGGCTGGGAGTGGTGGGGGGGTTGTGGCTTTAGAGAGGGTGGGTTGGGGAGCAGACACCTGAGGAAGGAGGTTTGCAGGCTGAGAGGCCCGCTGTCTGGAGAGACAGAGAGGAGGAGATGACTTCAGAAGGGGGGACTGGATTGCATCAGGCCTCGTGGGCCATGGGGGGAGGGCGTGAGAGGGTGTTTTTGTTTGTGTGGTTTGATTTTTTCTGTCCCTGTGTTTGTATTTGACATGCATGTTCCTTTTATTTTTTTAAACTGCTTTGTTGAGGTATAATTGACATTCAACAAATCACATGTATTTAAAGCCTACAGTTTGGGGCGCGTGGGTGGCTCAGTCGTTAAGCATCTGCCTTCGGCTCAGGTCATGATCGTGGGGTCCTGGGATCGAGCCCCCGCATCGGGCTCCCTGTTCAGTGGGAAGCCTGCTTCTCCCTCTCCCACTCCCCCTGCTGTGTTCCCTCTCTCGCTGTGTCTCTCTGTCAAATAAATACATAAAATCTTTAAAAAAAAAAAAATAAAGCCTACAGTTTGATGTTTTGGCATAGGTACACACCTGTGAGACCATCACTGCAAGCACAATAGTGAGCCCGCCCGTCACGCCCCAGCCCTGGCGTTCCCTCAGGCGTCTCTGTGACCTCTCCCCTCGGTCCCCTCCGCCTTCCTTTCCTAAGCAACCACGGCTCTGCTTTCTGTCACCAGACATGAGTGTACATTTTGTAAACTTTTGTATACATGGAATTACACGGCGGGTTTGTTTTCTTGGCCTGGCCCCTCTCAGTGTAATTGCTGTGGGTTCCATCCGTGTGGCTGCACATGGCCGTAGCTCTTTCCTGTTTAATGCTGACGAGTTTTCCATCGTGCGGATGTGTCCCAGTTTGTCCGTTCACCTGCTGGTGGACATTTGGGTCGTTTCTCTGTTGTTTTTTTTTAAGATTTTATTTTATTATTTGATAGAGAGAGAGAGAGCATGAGTGGGGGTAGGAACAGAGGGAGAAACAGAGACTCCCTGCTGAGCAGGGCTCAATCCCAGGACCCTGAGATCATGACCTGAGCCGAAGGCAGACGCTTCACCGACTGGGCCACCCAGTGGCCCTATATGTTTTGCTTTTGATGGAAATAGCAAATTCAGGGGTGCCTGGGTGGCCCAGGCACCCCTCCTTCTTGTTATTTATCTGTCCTGCTATTGATGGGCCTTCGGGAGCTGCCAGTTGGGGCCGTTATGAACAGCTCCGCCCTCTGAATATTCTGGCACGTGTCTTTTGGGGACACGCGTGCACCTCCCTGCTGGGCCATAGGGCTTGCATGCGTTCCACTTGAGTACGTACGGCCCCACAGTCGGCCAGAGTGACGTGCAGGTGTACATCCCCGCCCTGCACAGCCTCAGAGAGAAGTCTTGCTTCTCCACATCCTCACTGATGCTCTGTGTTTTCCATCTTTTTCCATGCGGGTGGGGACACAAGGGCGTCTTGTTGTACTTTTCATTGGCGCTTCCCCGGAAGAGTTCTGACTCGAGTCGGGCTGTGTGCGGACAGCCCCAGCTCCAGCTCACGTGCCCCTGTTTCTTTTTCAGGCCGGGTCCTCGTCCACTGCCGGGAAGGTTACAGCCGCTCCCCAACCCTCGTGATCGCCTACCTCATGATGCGTCAGAAGATGGATGTCAAGTCTGCCCTGAGCATCGTGAGGCAGAACCGTGAGATCGGCCCCAACGATGGTTTCCTGGCCCAACTCTGCCAGCTCAATGAGAAACTAGTCAAGGAGGGGAAGTTGAAACTCTAGGGCACTCCTGCTGCCTCTTCTCTAGAGGCAGGGAGGGGAGGCTCTGGTCCAGGTGCCCCAAGCCGCCATGTTTAGGAAACACAGTGTACCCTGCTCCCAGCATCACCAGGCACTTGCCCACAAGTCTGTCCCAACACAGCCCTGGGCCACTTTCCCCCTGGGGAGCATATAAAGAAGCTTGCTAAGGAAGGCATTGTCGCTCCCTGGTGTGTCCTGTGCCTACAGTTTATGATGCCCTCTCCCTGAGGTGGGGGCGCAGAGGGGGAAGGCCTGTGACGTGCATGTTTCTCCTGGATGGCCCAAGGCAGGAGGTCTGTGGGAGTATAAGGCTCGAGATGCCCCCGGGGCCCCTCCTGACCTCCGTTGCCCCCTGCCTCCCTCCCCCGCTCCCTGGCACCCACCCCTGGGTCTTCTCCTGAGTGGGGACCTCAGCACCTCGAGCCCTGTAAGGGAACTATGCAAACGCAGGCCCCTCTCTCCCCACCATGCCTCTGTCCCCCAGCTCCTCCCCACTGCCCACACCTTGTTCACAGGCAGAGGCACATTGTGAGGTCTGAAGCTGGCCCCGTGGCTGGCAGTTAGTGGGTGGAAATTCCCATGAAGAGACTGCATTTTAAGTATTTCAGTAGGATTAAAGATACCCAAACAAAGAGGCCATCAGGTGGGCAGACATTCCCCTGGAGGACTCCTATAAGTCCATAGTTTCTAAAATACGAATCTTGGAGGGCTTGCATTCAGAATCTGCTGCTTTGGAATATTTCCCTTGGACTGCTCTCAGTCACTTGGATTGTTAGAAGAGCGATGCCTTGGGCATGGTTTTATTCTATTCTATTCTATTTTATTTTATTATTTTTATTTTATTTTAGAAAACAGGGTGTTGAAGTTCCAGCCTATTTAAAAACCCCACCATTTGAAGAATTACAAAGGTTTTGTCCTGAATTACAGCGTTGGCGAGCTCAAGCCACTCATGCTAACTGCTTTTTGTCTTGGTTGCTATTCCAAGGACAGAAGGAGGAAGTTGGCCGATTGCAGGGTGGGTGTGTGGGTGTGTAGGGGGGTGTGTATCTCAGAAACACAGCCAGAGGATGGAGGAGCAGGCTCTCACCCCGCCCACTTTTAGGTAGTTCTTAGGGCTCTGTGCTGCCAAGAAAGATCCTGGAGCCCTAAGAGCAAAAATGACTCAGCCAGGCCAAAATGAAACACGGCAGAGCCTCCAAATGTAGACTTTACTGGTGGTAGAGCAAACATACAAACCGGAACCACCTTTTTTTAGGACTAATTTAAGGATGACGTCAGAATGCACTAGCACTCACGCTCACACGTGTGTGCACATTCGTCAGAATTTAGGAGTTTTGTTTTGAACACAGTCTTGTTAGGACTTCAAATGATTGTTGCCATGGAAAGTGATTCATTCCTGTCGTCTTCAGGTTCCCCAACAGCAGGGAGGCTGGTCCTCAGCCATACCCCCCAGCTCCTAGCACACAGAGGTCTAGAAAAGTTTGCTGAATTAAACTTTTTTTGAGCCCCAGATATATGTAGGTTGTTGTTCTGGTGGGTGTATCAAGCTCCTAGAAACCTGAATTCATGGTAGGATCACTTGCAAGGATTTGCAAAAGGATTCTTACCAGAAGTGAAAAACCAAGGACTTTAGTCAAGTCTTTAAAATTCGGTTGTAAATGGAAATTCAGGCAGTGTTAACCTGTCGAGGTGGAGAATGTGCCTTTTTCAGAGTTGACCAGGGGCATCTGGCTAGACAAGGAGAAGCAGGGTGCCACGGGGCCTCGTTCCCGGGTGTCATGGCCTTTCCCGCCACAGGGCCAGCAGTGCGGGGCCTGGACGGTCCCTTTCCTCTGTGACCACAGCCACCCTGAACAAACCAGGATCTGTCGCCTTTTCCAGATACCGGACTGCCCACATAGACCCGCCTCAGTAAAATGGCCATCCTCTAACCCATGCACCTCACCTCAGTTTCCAGAGAACCAACCCACTTAATCTAACTTGATCCTTCCAATAACCCTATCAAGTTGGTAGAGCTTATTCATGTATTGTGACCTTTTAAGAAAAAGGAACTGGGGTTCGGACTGATGGAGGGCATGGTGCCCGGGCTGTCCTGGCTCTAAGGAAGAGCTGAGGCCAAATTTCAGGTTTGCTGCTCCCTGAAGCTGAATCCTTTGTCCCATACTATGCTCCTCACCAAGAAAGGAGCCCCCTGGGAGTGTCCAGGTGCACTGCATATGCCCTTGACCCAGCCCGTGTGCACAAGAGCCAGTTTTGTGGACGGAGTACAACCATTCAAGCTGGGGTGCCACGGGGTGAGTGGGGGTTCTGGAAGAGGGTGGGAGGGAGTTGATACAAACCCATCCCCGCTCCAGGAAAAGGAAGCAAAAAGTGTGGGTCCCCGATTCGGTTAGAATGTGTGGCTCTTCCTCCAGGAAGCATGTGGTGTCCCTAAGTTGGAGCTTTCTGCTCTACTTCTGGAAGAGGCTCTGGGACTCGGGCGAGGGCTCCCCCTCCCACGCTCAGGAAGGGGTCACTCCATAGGACAGCCATAGCTACTCAGGCTAGTTAGCCAGGACCTCTTGAAGGCCTTTTTGTGGGGGCATGAGGGAGAACAGGCCATTGGAAGAATTACTGCCTTTACTTGGGGGCTACTTTTATGCGGATAACTGGGGATTTCTTGGTAGTCTTTGGCCCCAGAAACCCTATCTTTACTTCATGAGATCTAGCTCCTAATTTTTGAGTTAGAATTCTATTGTGTAAGAGCCAGCACGCGCCCACGGCCAGTGGAAGCTGTTTCTGGACGGCTTTCTACCCCTGGGAAGTGATGGAATAGGAACTCAGGGTGCCCTTGCCCTCCCCCCTGACCTGATCCCTTTCTTTGACTAGCAGACCCCCACCTAGGTCAAATTAGAGCACCAAATTGTTTTCTTCTCAAGTCTAAAAGCAGTACGCTTTCCACAGGCTGGTCTGTTTCTCTGCCACTCTGAGTTATCTGGAGAGCAGAAACCACCATCTGTCAAACGAGGGGACTCATCTAGAAGACCTCTAAGGTCCCTTTGGCTCTGACACTGTAGGATTCTCAGAATCCCCACCTGGAATTTACCCCAACCTGGGAATTATAGGGGATGTAATAATATGATGACCAGCAGGTGGCACTGTGTTCCACCCATGGTGATGGATGGTTTTTGAAAGGGAATGTTGGTGCCTTTTGTGTCACAAGTTAATGTTAAGATGCTAATGTTTTAATCCAAATAAGCACTGATCTTATAATAGGAAGATATGCGCTTTCCTCGCAGCATAAATTTTCTGTCATAAAACCGGTGTCAAGAACCACTGAAGAGCCAACAGTGTGGGTCTTACCAAGTCAAGACTTTATCCTGATTGGAAGTAGACGCCCTCTCCGGCTGAGAGAGTAGAGCGGTTGGAAGCTTAATTTATCTCCTGTCAGCTTTCAGGGTAATTTGATTGTGAAAGTGTGAGTTTCCTGGACAGAAAAGGGGAAGGTATTAAATTGGTTTTAAAGGAAAGTAAGTTTAACGTCTGTTGTATCACCAATCAGCGTTAAAGCACTAACTGTAACCAAAATAAATGTCTTACATTACATAGAAATGGTCTTTTTTGTCCTTCTTATCACTGCTGATTTTCTCTGATGCTCTTATGTTTGCTTTTGTCTAACTTTCAAAAATAAGTATCATCTAAAAATTAACCCTCCCGAACTCATTCTCAGTCCCGAGATGATTATATTTATGCAGTAGATGTTGATTAAACTTATCTTGCCAGTACCAGAAATTTCCCGTGATAGGAATAATCTTTTTATTTATCTAGTTTCTAAAAAACTGCAGCTTTTTGGGGGGTTAATTGACTGGAATATTCTTGAATAGAGAGGCCCATCCTAAATGAGGGAGTTAGATCTATGTTCCTAAGAAAGTAGGAGACTGGGGGTGACAGTCTCAAGCTGGCCTCACATGAAGATGATTAGGGTTTGAATGGTCCTGCAAATGGGCAGCCCCAAAACGTAGCCCTGCCCCCAGATGCCTTAAACTCCGCCATTAGCATTTATCTCCCTTATGGTAAGCATTGGCTTTTTTTCTCTGAATAAAAAACTCAAAAGAGTGTTGGGTGCCTTTTCTCCCTGACAGAAAAAAACCTCTTTGTGGGGCACCTGGGTGGCTCAGTCGGTGAAGCATCTGCCTTTAGCTCAGGTCATGATCGCAGGGTCCTGGGATCGAGTCCCACTCCCTGCTTAGGGGGGAGCCTGCTTCTCCCTCTGCTTGTGCTCTCTCTCTCTCTGACAAATAAATAAAATCTTAAAAAAAAAAAAAATCCCATGCATCCGTAAGTACACATACGTGTGTCTGTGTATATAGAGATCTCCATGGAAAACGTTCTGCATTTGCTTTTGTGCTTAACAGTTTCTTACAGCACCATTCATTTTACTAGCTACCTAGCATTCCGTTGTGTATGGTGTGCTGTGATTTCTGTATACTCTAATTTTAAAGGTCCAGGCTGCTTTAATGAGCACAGAATCTTGAAATGAGACTTATGAATAACAGTTGCAGTTTATCTGCTTAATATCCTGTTAATTTCTGTCGTCTGTTGTGATGGCACAGTGTCAAAGCTAAGGAGGATTGTTCTGTGCTTGCTTGTGTAATTTTACGGGGGTGGGGGGGTTGCCTGGCTGCTCAGTGGGAGTGTGCAACTCTTGATCTCTGGGTGGTGAGTTTGAGCCCCATGCTGGGATGTAGAGATGACTTAAAAAAAAGAAAGATAATTTTATGGGGGTGGCATGCCCAAGCCCAATATTTAGAAAGAGTCTCTGAGCCATGGCCTTCTGAATTGATGACCCATTTATAAGAAGTTCAAATGCACAGAGATTCCGTTTTGAAAGTCTACACTAAAATGAGTTAACCTAAAAGCAACACAATGAATGGGTGGTCTCCGTTTCATTAAAAGTGGAAACACACCACATTTAATTAATGTGTGTTTTTATATTTTTATTTATTTTTATTTAACTTTTACTTAGGGGGCGCCTGGGTGGCTCAGTCGGCTAAGTGTCTGTCTTTGGCTCAGATCATGATCCCGGGGTCTTGCTCGGTGGGGAGTCTGCTTCTCCCTCTCCCTCTGCTGCTCCCTGCTGCTTGTGTTCTCTCTCTCTGTCAAACAAAATCTTTAAAAAAATAAATTTTACT